TCTCCCATATGAGATTTAAAGGAGGCTTGGTTCTCCCAGTTTGGCACAGAAGAAGAGGGTTTGTCTTTCCCTGTTCCTTTGAAGTTGATAATTAGGATGTTTACAAGATAAAAGAACTCGGAAATTTATCTGTGTAATTTCACTGCTGTCATGCATTAACATTCTCTCCTCCTCTTTTCTCCTCCTACCCAACATCCTTTCTGCAAATCCTGTCTCGGTGGCTGTTTAGAGTTTTCTCAAGGCATAATGATTATTTTCATTTGTCTAGAATGTAGCAATACAGCATGTGTCTCTATGGTGCGTGTGTGTAAGTGGAAGAATAAACACAGAGAAGCAAGACCAAAATAATGGACTGCACTCAGGATTTAATAAACACCTAGGCAAACAGCTAAAAGGTTACATGAAAGGAAAGATGCCATTTTAAATTTAGATTAGTCCTTCATTGGTGTTAACTGTCCTTGTGAATAATAAGCACTCTTGGTACAACTACAGTAGCAGCAAATCACTAATCTGTGACTCAGGCCACAGGCTACCACAGAGTTAGATCTATATATATTTACACCCACTGATTTGCAATAGGGTTGTGTATCTATTGTTTTGTGGCCTCTGTTTTGCTTTTGCTTATAATATATATATTGCTTTTGCTATAATAGCCAATCAAGACAGAAATATGTGATCTTTGGTATGAGCACCACCGCCTTACTTCTATATTGTAATAAAAGAATCAATAATTTCAACATAATGAAGCAAACTCTAAACAGACTGAAACTTTGTGTTTGGCCAAAAAGCAAAAGAAAAAAAAGAAACTGCAAACAATTCCCAAGAAAAATGTATGCATAAATGAGTGTTATTTCTATATTCTTCAAAACTACCTGTAATAAACATTGCATAATGGACAATCCAATCCAAATAACTTTATTGTACTAGCTATTGGCCATGACAAATCTGAATCAAAAATAGATACACATCAAGGGAAGCAGCGCCACAAATAATAGTCTCTATTTTGATCTCTGCATCTCCCTTACAGTTCACTGCTATACTGTCCAGGGTCTTCTTTCTGATCTTTTTGGCTGCCAGAGAAAAAAGGGGGACTTTATGAGTCACTGAAATGTTTACATCGTTGATGAGAGTGGGGAAACGCTGGCAAAAGTCTGCCCTGGGAAAGTGGGGGTACGTTCAGCCCATCTGGCTTTATCCTGAAATTAACCCCTGGTTTCAGGTAGGTGGGCTGGAAAAGCTTGTGACCTTGGAAAACATTTCCAGTTGGAGTAGACAATACAGGGTTAGATAGACCAGCAGTCTGTCTTAAACTAAAGTAGATTCATATATTTATGTTGAAGATGGCCAGGTGATATTCCACTAAAGTGGTGACAATTTTAACTGGCTGCTGCCAACTCTTGATGGGAAATGCTGTGTGTGTGTGTGTGTGTGTGTGTATGTGAGTGAGAGAAGATCAGTACACAAGGGCCACTCAGATTCTGCATCATGGATTATACTGTAAGATACAGCCATTTAATTCAAACACTCATCTCATGATGCTATCTGTGACCTTTTCTGTGCATCCACTTCCAGCAGTATCATAGCTGATAATGTCAAATACAAAGAAACACTTAAGCAGAGCTGTTTTTTCATTAAATTGGTCTTTTGGCCTTACATAGAAAAAACAAACTCAACCCCAAGCAATAACCAAGTCGAGCTATGGTAAATATACATGGATTGAGGTATGTTAGGAGAGGTTTTGGAATAATAATGCCACAGCTTTGTTTCATTTGGAAGCATAAATCCATGCACACATACTTGGCAGATGTACTTCTATCTAGAGAAAAGACACAATAAAATGGGAGGAAGAGAAATCCACTGGCACATCACATGTTGACAGCTTTTTGCAAACTTTTCAATATTCTCTTGTATGCATAAGTTTTAGTTTTTGTTTATGAGGTCCATCTAACTATAATTCACAACTTCTGTTAGCTTGTAAAATTTGATTGTAAGATCTGTTGGACAACATCAGAAGGGAGCAACCTGATCTGTCACAAGCCTATCTTGGTGCCAAAGGCAAGCATGACATTTCCTTCCACTCCGGAAAAAAACCTACATTTACGTTTACGCCTGCTGTTGTGAATGACAAAGATACAAACAAAAAAAGTGCCTTGAACCATTGCCAATTACAACTGCTTTCTCATCCAAGATGGATCATAGATGGTTTTCTACTCCAACAGCTTCTTCCCAAGTTTATTTTAGAACACACACACACACACACACACACACACACACACACATTGTGTGTGGAAATGTGGTGCAACAATGACAACACACCCACCCATGTCTGAGAAAATCTAATCTAATCTAAAATGAAACTCTAGCTGCATTCACATGGCAGCTTATTCCATTTCCCCAACGTTTCCCTAAATTTGTCCATTATATTTGAGCTTTTACATGATGTAAAAGCCAGTTCCAGAAAATTAATGTGATACAAATGGATATAGTGCAAGTTTAATGTTCATTTCTATGTTATTTGATTCTGCAAAAAAATCTGCTTGCAGCCCCCATAATATGGAAACATTTTCCCACCATTTTTACAGGTTCCTGCTGCTTCCACTCATGTGATGAGCCGTGAGGTGGCATCAACGGCAGATCTACTATGAAACTAATGAAGCTTAAGATTCAGGGTCCCTAATCCCAGAGGGGTCCCAGGAAAAAACCTGAGGCTACATTGCTTAAAAATGTTGGGTCTAGTAGACCCAATTGGAGTGGCCCAACTCAAATTGATTATTATTATTTTGTATATATTTCAACAATTTCAAAGCTTGAGAGTCAGTAGCACCACTATTATAAACATTCTCTTGTGCCTGTGTAAATTATGCCAGAGCAATAACTACGATCTGTTGCAGTGAAGTGCTTAGAAGCCTGATCAATTCACCGTGACTTTTGACAAGCACAGAGCCAAGCTGCAAGGCTTCGGCCAAACTTTGGGAGTGGGGTAGGGTTCATCTCTTTTCTTCTGTAGCTCTGGGTTTGGAGAAAGCCTTTGGCTCATCTCACCCACCAGATCATGGTGAGGAGAGCAAATGAGACTCTTGAATCCTCTTCTAAACATTCTAGCACACAAACAAACCAACAGTTCATCCAATTTGGGCTACTGGACCAGTATTGCCAGCTTTACAAGTGTTTCACTATCCACCCTGAGTAGATAGTCCATGATAGAGTTCACTGAGCTGAGCATCTCAGCTGGTCACTTGGGCTGCCTGCCCCTAAATTTGGCCCATCTTCAGCCTTTCTCATGGCACACTTCTAAGCCTGCCCAATAGAAATGGTTAGTTCTGTGTACACATGCCTTTCTTTGAGTACAATGACATGCTCCCTCCATTGAAGTGAAGGTGGTGAAGGGAAGGAGCTTCCACACAGAATGGCCTTTGCTTACATAGAAGTTCCCTTGGCATTCTCGATCAGGGTGGATGGGTATTTTTCAGCAACCCATGATCCTTCATGAATTTCAGTAAGGCTAGACAGATTGGACACAAACATTACAGGTTTCTTGAATCCAAATTTTATTTTATTGGCTAACTCAAAATGCCAGTCCAGGAAACTTGCAATACAAACTTTTGTACTAAAAACGACTTCAAAGAGGGTCCCCCCGCCCCAGTTATCCTCTCCTTAACTCGAACCATCAATCAATCAATCAATTGAAAGATGGCCTTATACATTTGACATCCTTGCCCAGACTGTACACGGAGCCCTTGTCTTAATCGCTGTGACTTTTTATACAATGCAGGCTCTCTTTCTGCTCTGAATGTCACACTCCCTCTTCCTCTGAGAAGAATGGCTGAGAAAGGAGATGGAAGCAAGGCTTGTCCCTTCTTTTAAAGGTAACACATCCATGTAAAAGAGCCTACCTTTGATTACTGAGGTGGGTCTCCCATTGCCTGGGTGTATTATTCAGTAAACTGTTTACATTAACAACCCTTTGTTGCAGGTTCTAAATCTTCAAGGCTGCGAGTTCAGGCCTGCCAGCTGGCAGACAGAGAGGTACTTGTGCTACAGTTGACTGAGGTAATTAACAGCATAAACTGTCAGAAGGTGACAGCAGGCAGAAAGTTCCTGCCCTGGGGTCACAGCTGGACTCCGCCAGCTTGCTCCTTGGTTTACCAGTAAAACTAATAATGGAGGGAATATTAGTATTAAATTATTAAACCAGAGGCAAAAATGAAATTTCTCGTTTCCGCCCAAGGGGTAATTGAAGAAAAATTAGGGGTTATATTTTGTAATGCACTTAAGCCACCTCTGAGGAAAAAATGGACAGGATCTTTCTGCACACAGATAAGAGATTGCTGGTTAGAAGCAAAAGTTATTTAGTGGGCATATTAACTTTAGATATACCAGAGTTTGAGGGAATGGCACACTAGTGAAATCTGTACATCTATATAATCCAGAATGGCCCACTTTTTATTTGGGTGTCAGTCAATTAACTGAGCCACACCTTCATTCTTAAAATGTATGGTATAAGAGGTATCAGTAAGCTTGGGGGAACCCCAAAATTTGCAAAAGTACAAATGGATTGGGGATAGTCCAATGAAGACTATGCTCAGGGCTGTGGAATGCTGACTAGCTGTTGAGCAGAATGGTGGGAATGGAAAACTGGGTGGAAGGAGGAACAGAATGGAGCAATCCATATTTGCTGTGTCTTAACATGCTAGCTAATTTTCAAGTATTGCACAGTTTGCCTATATGTTACTTTACCTAATAGCCAGCCCTGCCTCCCCCTCCTTTCTTTAGTGCATACAAACCCAATTCAATAATATTCTGGGGCAGATTTCTTTTCAGACTTTGGGTGCTGCGTCGCTATAAAACTGTCACACTAAAAATAACAGCTATTTGCATTACAAGTGGATTTGTAATGATTATATAATAATACTTTATGAATGGCTCTGGATTACCAAGAATGAGACTGTTGTCCAAAAAACCTCAAACTATGCATAAGGCAAAAGTGGCAGCCAGAGCAGAGTTAAAGAGCCAAGTCCTAATCCTATTGAAATCAGTGGCAAACTATTGCTGATCTCAGTAGGATCAAGATTTGGCTCACAGCTGACAATGTTTCATAGTGTTAATGCAAAAGGACTCTCTGTGCCCACCATTTCTAAGCAGATGTTTGGAAAAGTCCTTTTGTTTTGACTTGTTTAAATAACTGGGATGTACTTTGTTCTGACACAAATACAGGCAATCTGGCAATAACAAAAAAACAACACCCCCCAGCTAATATACCATTGGAATAACTGGACATCTGACATATCCCCCCCCCTCCTTGCTGGTCCTAGGGATTTTGGTCTTTATAAAAATTGTGTAAATGAGGAAATAGTGCCAACAAGCTATTAGCAATAGCAATTTCCTAACTGCAGTGGGAAGCATCCTGCATGTTTAAATAAATATTGTTAACGGTGACCTCTTGGTTTTACTGGGAATGATAAGGCAATTGTTTGACCTATATGGAGCACATACAGTATTCATGGCTTGAGCGCAGCAAGAAAACAGGAAACAATAAATCAGAAATTAGAGCACTGATTGTTATACCTAATTGCATCAGACTTCTGCTTAATTTCTCGTTCTGTCATTCTAACCTTATTTTCTTGCCAACAGGCTTTGCAAATTGCTGGTGTCACGTACAAACAGCAAATGATAATCTTTAGTTCCTATGATTGACAAATGAATGAGGGGGAGAACATAGTTTATTATGGAAGAATGAACCGAGACACACACCAGATACCTGCTCAGATGGTCTTTTAATTCGCTTACCATAATGGGTTGCGTGGTATGGTTTTTTGCCAGGGGCATGGATTTGGGCACTATGACTCATTAATTGGATCTGAGCTTGGTCTGATAACCAAGAAAGCGGGGGAGGGGAACACATCAGAGTTTTAAATGGGGAGAAATGGCAGGGATTGATCTGGTCGAGGAAAGAGATAAAATTGTGGAAAGGGCACTTAAGTGAAATGTGAAAATAGCACCAGCTAAGTTAGTCAACATGTTCAGTCTTTAAACAGTGGTATTTGTTGTGATGGGGTTTAGAGAAAAAACAAGCAACCATGCAATCAGGCATTCAGACAAAACCTTACTTTATTGCAACACAACTAGACTGATGGAAAGGCTCCACCCAGCAAGCAGAACTGGAATAAAATTACAGAAGCCCAGTCAGGCCAAAAAGCACAAACCTAACCCATTAGCATGTACAACAGTACTATTGCACATTTTATCCCACAGAGTATCATATGGATATGCTGGAAGATGAGGTTGGACTCCTATTAGGGTCAGTTAGCATATAGTTAAACCTTCTAGATCTTGAAGTACATGCTAGCTGACCCTGATGGGACTCCAACATCATCTCCAGGGCGGCAGATTCATATGATACTCTGTAGGCTAATAGTTCTTCATTTCTGTCTAACAACTGTGGATGATGTATTGTACAGCTACATAATCCCTGTTCTGTGTGTTCACTCCAAAGTAAGCCCAATCAGACAGCAGCCCAGAACAGATTTCCTTAAAAGGGGACACTATTGCTCAGTGGTAGAACTCATAGTTTACACATAAATAGGTTCAATCAAGGATCCTAGGTCTCCCCAGCTGGGAAAAATCTCTGCCTACGAGCAACCACCAGCTATAGTAAACAATAAATGGCTAAATAGATCAATGGTCTGCCTAGGTAGAGTTCATGTATTCCTTGTGGTGTTGGTGATGATAACTGATACCATAATTTCAGAAGAATTAATACAGTTGTGGATGAAAAGTACAGGACTCTTGGAATAAGATCTAATAGCCATGAGCGCTCCATTAATATGTTGTTGGCTGGTGATCAGAAGAAAATTTAAGATGAGTAAAGCCCTGGAATAGTCTCCCAAAGACAGTTGGGGGAACAAAACAAAAAAAGTGTCAGTGGTTTCAGAGGAAAACTAGATGCATTTCAGAAGAGTAATCTGTGTAGTACAGTGGTACCACGAATTACATCTGCTTCAGGTTACAGACTCTGCTAACCCAGAAATAGTACCTCGGGTTAAGAACTTTGCTTCAGGATGAGAACAGAAATCGTGCTCCGGTGGCTCGGCGGCAGCAGGAGGCCCCATTAGCTAGAGTGGTGCTTCAGGTTAAGAACAGTTTCAGGTTAAGAACAGACCTCCAGAACAAATTAAGTACTTAACCCGAGGTACCATTGTATATGAGAAGGGCTGTAGCTGTGAGGGAAAGCACATGCTTTGAATGGAAATGGTTCCGACTTTAATCTCTGGCTGAGATTGACACCTGTCTGATACCCTAGAGAGCTCCTGCAAGTCAGTATAGGCAATAATCAGCTGGAGTAGTGGTTCCCAATTGGGGGTCCGCAGATCCCAGGGGGTCCACATAACCCACCCAGAGGATCTGTGCCACATACTCATCAACTGTCCAGGACATCCAATTTTAGCTTCCAATTTTCATGTGAGAGCACAGTGCCCCAAACCCCATGAGATTGTGGCCATGGCACCCCAAAATGTGCATTTTGGGGTGCCATGCTCTTGTGAGGGTCATGTGACTTGCACAGGAGCCCGACCTGAAAGACAAGCATCTCGGTTTTGCACTGGAACATGTTGGAGGATATGGTGGCACCATTCACCTAACCAAAACTACCACAGAGATATCAACATTTTCAAAAGTAGGGGGTCAATGGCATGGCTTTTGAAGAACTGGGGGTCCACAGTTCTTAGCTAACTGGGGACCACTGAGCTAGAGGGACCAATGGTCTGACTCAGTATACTCTTCCTGCGTATGTCGAGTTTCAACCAGGGCTGTGCATTTTCTGTGCTAAAAGAACATTTCCATCTGCATTGAGAACATTTAAATGTTCTGATGTGTGAAACATGCGTGCACTTGCATAGTTTGCATAATTGTATTCTGCCTTTGTTTGAAAGAAAGGCTAAAAGCTAACTGGGACCCTACAACCACCCAAAGAGGCAGTGCATTAGATTACACCTTAATGAATGACCAAGTCCATTCGGGAAAATGTGGTTCTTCTGTTGTGCCCACAAATCCTGGGAGATTGAGCCGGGGTTCAGTAGCCCTTTATGGAGCATAAGAATAAAAACATAATACAGTCTCTGTTGCTATTGTAATCTTGCTGCTGCTTCATATTATTTTATTGTGGATAAATACACATACACCCTATGTGCTTTTAGATTGCTGCCTTTCATTTACGTGGCTTTTCAATTTGTAAACCGCTTTATCCTGGATTGTAAAACTACCTTGCAAAGTGGAAAGGCACAGCTTGCAAAATTAACTAATTTAAAAAATGGATGAAATAAAATGGGATAGTAAAAGGATTTAGTAAGGAAATTGATCCATAAGATGCTAGATTTGAGTTATCTTTTCCAGGAATTAGTATTACAACTAATCTGTGGACAGTTACAGAAGCATTCCCTTTTCATGGGCTTCATAAATTGCCTTCATCAAAGACTTTGCTAAAATATTCCAAAATCTTTTTATAAAAGTTAAAGATAAAGCCATTAGGCACAGGCACTTTATTGCTTTTTAGGTTTTTAATTGCTTGGACTCCTTCCTTCATTGTAACTTGAGCATCCGTACTTTGTTTATTGCCATCACTTAGCCTGCTATTTTTAGATTAGAAAAAAATATTTATTATATTTTGATCAAGATCATTTGGAGTATACCATTTTAGAATACCTTGTGTGCTATCCAGCTATTACTTCATTACTTAATTCATTGAACAAAGTTAAAGACATCAACATGTTTTCTTATTGGTGGGTGAATTCATGATCATTACATTCCCCCCCCCCAGCTAGTCTATAAACTAATAATATTTATTGTTTTTCTCATAATTCAAATAATCTCTACCTAGTGTAAAGCATGTTCTGATACATTTCATGTTAATCTAATGTATTCATTGTCAAACAATTTTGTTAGTATTATAAGGGATCTGCTTTTCTTATGAAGGCCTTCTGAATTCTCAGTATCTGTTTCAAAAGGTTTCTTTGTTCATTTCTATGTTGGAATAATGCTTTTTCAAATATGGACAAGTAGTGACAAACACAGTATATGTATGCATGTGTCTATGTATACACACACACACACACACACACACACACACATGTATATGTGTGTATATCTATATCTATCTATCTGTATCCATGGACAGAAATTTTAGACATACAGTGGTACCTCAGAACTTGAACTGTAATCCATTCCGGAAGACCATTTGACTTATGAAAAGTTTGAGTTCTGAGGCGTAGTTTCTGATTGGCCAATAGCTAAGTTTTTGCACAGCGGAAGCTGCGTCGGATGTTCATGTTCCCAGGAATGTTTGAAAACCGGAACACTTACTTCTAGGTTTTCAGCGTTCGGAAGCTGAAAAGTTCGAGAATGGAGCTGTTTGAGTTCCGAGGTACCACTGTATTTCTACTGCACACACATACAAATGCTGAATGATTTTTTAACCAAAAAAGATTCAGAAGAAGGCTGAATTTCAAATTACATAAAAATCTTTCCCTTTATAAAAGCAATGGGTCTGGGAAGAGCTGTGAATAAGAAGAGAGAATTGGTGGGTGCTTCTGTCAATGTGCCCATGGGTTGTGGTACACAACATTAGGAATCTCCTCAATTTATTGCTTAATTGATGGTTCAATATTTACAAACTCTCTAAGCAGCGTGCACCATTAAAACAATAAACAATATGATCAAAACAAAAACATGACATCAATAAAAGCCTATAAAAGCAAAATACAGGAATTCAGACAAATAAAAACGAAGTCCAGTCTTATGGATCAGGGAAAGCCTGGGCAAAAAAATATGCCTTTACAAGACATCTGCTGCTTCACATATGGTAGAAAGAAGGGAATCTCATAGTACAAAGACAGTGGCGGAAAATGCCGGTTTTCGGATCATCACTCCATGATGTTCTGTAGGTTTACAAGCCAGGACAACAGGGAAAGCAATTAGAAATCATATGATCCTACCGTCTTCTGGTTTCTTTGAGTTCAGTCTCAGATACGAGCATCACAAACTAAAGCTAATAAAGGTCACCTGAAAAGATGGAAGTGCACAGTTTGAAAAA